TCGGAGCTTTCCTTCACGGATTCGTGCTTGTTTGCGGTCAGCATTGGCATTATAATGCAGGATTGCCATGCAGGTCCTAAAAAAAATTGAGGTATAAAAAAATGACACGTTTATGCTTTTTCTGTAATGTAAAATTTGAGCGCAGCTCTTGATCTGTTCTTATTTTGCGATATATGGTAAAGAATTTTATTCTACGCTTTTGTTACGCGTATAAATGTTGCGTAATTACGCACCAGTCAAAAAAAAAAGTAATCACGTTACCTCAAGATCACGTAAGGTGACATGATCGCGTAACTTTACGTGGTTACATAGAGTTACATTATTGCGAACGGCTCCTTTAGGTAAAGTGAAGTAACCACGCAAGGTTACATGATCGCTTAACATAACCGCATAAAGATATTGTCAAATTATTTTACGTGAATACGCAAGGTTACGGATCATGTAATCACTTCAGGTTTTGTAATTTCGTGACCTTACATAGTTACGTGATCACATAAAGTTAAATTATAACGTGATTACCTAATCTTCCTCCCCCGTACTATCGCCCTTTGCACCCTCCCCTCCTCCGGTTATGCCCACGCCGCAAACTTCGGGAACGGGTGCCCAAGATCTTCGTTCTAAAACATAAAACCAGTTATAATGGCAGTAACAATTACCGTGCAACCATACCATCATAGCCAAAATGGGAGGACTTTGGTGTAAAGTGGATAAGCACGCTATGAAACGCTTCAAGTTTATAAGTCTGGCTGCCGCCAGAGAGCATTATAATGACCTTTAACAAGTGACGGGCCATCGCAATTTTGTGGAGAGCCACGTATGGTTCCGTCCCTGACGAAAAAGAAAAATTGCAAATGATTATGCTGTCTATTTGAAAAAGTAGTTGATGAAGTCAAGTCCAAATTATATATCTGTTATTGCATCACGGTTGGGTCGGACTAGAGGGAAAAAGTGCTAAAAAACTGCCGGAATGATTATACAGGGTGCGGCCATAAATAATTTCCCATTTGGAATGCCTACGAAAAGTGAATTTCAAATGTACACACCTGAACAAAACCAATGTCATTTCACTTTAAGTTTAATGACTATCGTTTTCGGAAAACTCCGGAGTAGTAATACTTGAACAAACGTGAGAGCAGTGCATTTCCTATTCCCTATATAGGTTGCTTTCCGTATGCATACTGGTTTGCGACCTGCTCCCGGGTGGCCTACTAAACGCAAAAGCGTTTTGTTTTCATGTGTAAATTATTTTGATCGTCACCAGTCTATTCAGTTGTTCTTGGCGTTTTCGCATTCAGTAGGCAACTTGGAAGAAGGGTCGCAAACGAGCGTGCAGATAAAAAACGAACGCTATAGGCCATAGGAAATGTACTGCTGCTGTTTTTCTTCCATTTTTAACAATTCACTGCTCCCGAGTTGATCTCTGGAAAACCAATATAAAACATTGAGCGGAGCGGTATTTGTGTCCCCAGTCATAGGTGAGTACCGTAAAATCCCCGAGAGATAGCCCACCTAACATCAAGAGCAAATCGGGTGAAAATATGAGTGGGCTAACCAGGCAAAGAAACCGCTACGAGCGAAAAGTGAGTGCCCAATCCTTTGGCGCTGCCGCTCCAGGTGTCTATTTTAGTGCCATTCAGTGGAACCGCAGTGTATGCCAGTGAAGATTTTGACTTTCCAAGAGGGCTGTGCATGTTTCTTTGAAGGCGCACATTGAGTGTTTTGGGGTGACATGTTATAAACCTGTCCTGCATCACTCTTACTATTTGTTGCTCAGCTTCTTTTATTAATTTATTCAGGCTACCTGGGAGGTTGATTGGGCAATGCATTTTGCTGTTTTTTTGACGATGACACACTAATCAATAGCTCCAAAGATGATGAGGTGGATTGACCCAAGTTGTAATCCGAGTGATGAAGCAAGCCAAGAAGTAAGTATAGTCGACAAGCCTCTATTGGAGCTCAGCAAAGCAATCGTAAATTTGAAGGTGTTGTAAAAGTGTTTGCTGAAGTTGCATTCCTGCAGCCACCACCGGTCACTATTGTCACCATGAGAGCAGGCAAGGTAGAGGGGTGTTTGGTGCAGATGAATGTTGGCCGCGTGCCGCATCAGGGAGCACCATTTTGAAAGAATCAAGTCCCCATTGTCCCCACTTGTTTGTGCACACCAATATACATGCGACCGAATCGATTTCATCCAGGAAAGGAGAATCTTATTTCTTCCCTTGCCTGCTGCAGTCACCTTACTTACGACACCTGGAAAAGACACATGCTTATGCGGCTTCCAGTTCAGAGGTACGGCATATTGAGAGGGCAAGGACAGATTAGGGGGAGAGATATCAAAGCGGGAAGGCAGGCGTGAACGGCATTGGACTCTGCGAAAATGTTGCTTTAATTTTTTCGTGAATAGGTCTAACTATACTAAATGAGAAGCGTTGATACAAAACTTCATGCGCATACCAGGCCCTATGCCGTGGGGCTGTCAGAAATATTTAACAAATTTGTGCATGCCTGGACCGAAATGCTGTGCACAGCTTGAAAACATGATAGTTGGTGTAGCTTTTTGTTCAACTTAGTCTCAAAGTATTGATGACGAAGAGTACTGTGCAGCTCTGTCTATATCTATTGTGCCAGAAAACACTTAATCTTGTTGCTACAAATAATTTCAGTCGTGTCTGAACAAATAATGCCTAGCTGCTCATGGTATGTGCCTGCCCTTTGTTTCAAAAATTACTTCCAGTATTGCCTTGCCTTTTGCAAGATGCCATGCTTTGAAGCGGTGCTTGGAGTCGGGGTAGTCTGTCTTCATCATAGCCTTAACTCCTATGTGGCGGTCCGTCACCAGCGTTTCAATGATGAGTCCCTGGTTGAAAATAAAGCTGAAAAAAAAAATCAGACTCAAATGCTTGGCACAGAAACATTACAATGGCTAGCATATTCTTTTGCGATCAGCACATAGATCCTTTTATTTTTATACTTTGTACTTGTACTTATAAAAAAAATGCTCCTCTATTGCCACAGCTATAGTCACCCCCGACGACAAGGCCATGCAGGCCTTGAAATGATAAGTACCTAATTAAGGCAAATGATTAAACACGTTCGTTTCATCCTCCTTGGCCCAACCCTGAGAGATTTCAGTCGAATACTCAGATTCAATTGTAAAGACTATTAAAAAACTACTACCTGCAATGGAAAGATTTTTCTACCTTCATGATTAACGAGTGTCGACTGGGGATACAACTCCAGTTCATACACTCACTGAGCATGAGGGTAGAATGTACCAGCAGAGGGCAGGTACCTACATAGAAAGATTTTAGTTGGCGCACCAAGAGGCTGACCGACAAAAATGGGTACTGCTCTGAACAAAATGCCAAAAAAGCACAGATCTTGACTTGGCACTAGCAGTGGCACACAGTATCGATTTTACTGACTAAAGGGTACTCAATCATTATTTTCAGCTACCTAATCAAAATAAATATTCCTCCCGGGTTGCTTTTTCGAAAAATTTCTAAATCCACAACTATTAAGAAAACTGCTAAAAAAGCAATGGAAAAATCTACAATCGATTTTTCCTGCCCTCCATGCCTGTTGGAAAATTTTGATGACGGAAAGATGATGGAAAATCCTCATACAAGCGTAACCGTAATATGGGACATTCTATACCGGCGAAAATGTGGCTCCACCATAGCGGATTGAGATGGAATATGATACAGGTCGACGGAACCATACAAGCGTGTCGTATTATGGGACATCCTATACCAGCGTAGTGGATTATGACGGAACCATGGAGGTGCACGGAACCATACATGGTTCCGTTCGCCTACATGCTTCCGTTCGCCTCCATGGTTCCGTTCGCCTCCATGGTTCCGTTCGCCTGCATGGTTCCGTGCGCCTCCGTAGTGGTTCCGTGCGCCTCCGTGGTTCCGAGCGACTGCATGTAGTCGCTCGGAACGTTGGAGGCGCACGGAACCATGCTGACGAACGAAACCATACAACATAACGTTTTAGGGGACATCCTATACCAGCGAAAGGGCGATGACAGCATTGTGGAACCATATGGCAGCACACCTTCCACATACCTGCTTCATACAAGGATCCAGGCACGCAGCCAGGATTTTGTTTCGGGGGGGGGGGGGGGGGGGGGGCCTGCCCATGACAAAATGCTGTATGATGGGGAGGGGGGAGAGGAGGCCCCAGCAAAATGGAAGATTTCGGGGGGGCCCGGGCCCTTGGCCCCCCCCCCTGGCTACGTGCCTGCAAGGACCATACAATTGAATTAGATTATACATTTAAATCATAATATGAGATAATCACAGAAGCGAGTTGTATAAAATTGTGCTGGTTTCACAGGCATGAACCAGCACGCAACCTTGTTCAAGGTCATTGTCGAACACTGACAGTGTAAATGCAACGGTTTGGTAGATTTTCTTACAAAACGTATCTAAAGACCTAGGTTTCCAACTTATCTTTCATTTCGGAGAAACTCAAGCTTCATAACACACCTTTTTATTTTCCAAATGGAAGCACAATAAAGATGTATACAAGCAGATCATAAACACTGTACCACATAGGTACAAAACTATATGAAACTTCCATTTCCAATTTGTTTAAAGCGGTTATATATTTTTTTGCCCATACACTATATTAAGAGCTTTGCCTCTTGCCATAAAAACCTAAACGACGAGATGGTTACAAATATATTAAAAATGTTTGCTTTTCTATAGTGACTTAAAAATATGAAAGACTAGAATTATAAATGTATATTCCAAACATTTGCTGCCTCTAGCTCAAACTGATTTTGCAGTTTTAGTGTTAAAACATTATGTGCAGTCTAAGGAACAAAACAAGCAAGCAACAAGAGTGAGTGAGCGTCCCAAGCCACTTGCATATGGCACCAAAATCAGCGCTCCCAAAATGACATTTTTATAAATTTAATATACCTTGACTAAGAAACTACTTATCCGATTACACTAGAACTTTTACACCTTATAAAATATTTTGCCAATAGTTTGAACCGAAATGTTTTAAGAATTCACTACACTATAACGTAAAAAAATTTTAAATATAAAAGTTTCCCCCTAATGGCTTATGACTAGAAAGAACTATTTTTTTTCTTGCATGCTGCATGCTCATATTTATTTTCTTTTCGGTTCAGTTCAAAGCCAGTAACATGTAGAATATATGTGCGAAATTAAATGAGCATAGTTTTTTTTTTTTTTTTTTTTTTTAGAAAAGATACATTAAAAACAAGAACTCAGCTTGAGATGTGACACTCCGTTACTAAAAATATAAAAAAAATGCTTTAGTAAAAAAGCAACAGAAAGTTAATTCCAATAAAAGTGCAGTTATACTCTGTAGCTGTGTGCAGTGCAGGCGAACGCAACACCAGGCAAAGAGAGAAAGGGCGAACACTAGGAAGGCGGGACGGGAGAGGAGGGCGAAGGAGGATGAGGGGACAAAGGGACAGCACTAGGAACGTTCAAGAAAAGAGTATTCTCTCCTCCTAGCCAGCCTTCTTATTACTTGCCCTTTCTCCCCTCGCTTGGCGTTGCCTTTGCCTGTACTGCACGCAACTGTTGTCACGGAGTATAAAATATGCTGCTGCTGCTGCTCAGTGGCGCTTTCTGTTCTCGTCTCCCAGCAACCTCCGGATGTGCGTGTTGAGCTGACCAAGTCTCAGGGCGGCCGACACAACTGGTGACGGGTTCCTCTCGATGTATGCTGCGAGGGCACCTGGAATATAATGTAATATTAAGTAGGTGACTGTACCAGTGGACGCAAGACCTTAAACAACATCCGAGAGAATTAAAAAAAAAAGTAAGGAAGAACAGAACACAGGTAAAAACTGGAACAGTTCCTTGAAAAAGAGAGCTCATTGCTACATCGATGCTGTCTTCACTGGGTGTTGTGGGGACTCGGGGGACATTAGATGGGTGGATAACCACAACAATATTTTGATTATTAACCTAAATTTGTTCATTAGCTTTTTAATTGGTAATCTTACGGGCCATGTCGTAATTGCAGTTTTGAGGCAGCTAAAATTAGAGCCTAACCAAGGTGTCTACCAAATTGCTTTTTTTTTTTTAATTCCCCGACTTTTCAGGTTTTCCATGACTATTTTAATTGAATTTTCTGACCCACAACTACCGACACCAAAACAAAATATATTATAGATAGACACTATTCACAAAGCAAAGTATTTTATTTACTTTGGAAGATGTTTAGAATACAGCATAGACCAAGCTTTACTGTTTCAGGGAGTTTGGTCCCAGTACCTGACCAGCATATCCATTTTTTCTCTCCGAGTTACTTTGTTCATAAACTCATCAAAAGCAACCAGCAGATATGGCACGCTAGAAAGGCTTGCTAGCAACTTCTCTTGAAAGTATGGGCCGATACCATGACATATGGTATATCCCAATTTGTCTTTTCTAAGCTGCATTTTTTTGGCGGTCTCACACATGGGGAACATCAACGGAAACAGCGAGGCAGATGCTGCCGCTAAACGGAAAGATCCACGAGTAACTAGTGTTCAAACACCACATGATCTCGGCCCCCTTTGTGACTTCGTTCTTCAATAAAAAGCCACCCACCAACGCCTTCACATAGGGCCTAAGAGCTTCCGTGGCGGTGGTTAGATGCATTGCTGGAGCCCTACAAGCACTATCGCTACCTCTGGACAAAATGCCCGTTGCTGTCGCGGAAGGCTAGTCCACATTTGTCGCAGTCTTGAAAAATACGATTGGGATCTGGGAAACGCCTTGCAGATATTTCATAGCAGCTTGATGTTTCTTACCCTCAACATGAGTAGTAATCGCCCTATTCCCCATGTTGCTCAAGGAGAACTTCTTGCAGCACATTGTGCAGTAAGCTCTATTTGGATTATTTGGGACGGGCCAAATACAACTTGCATTCGTGGATATGTCCGGGTTTGTCCAGTTGAAGTTGAAGGAGCACTTCCTCGACAGCAACATAGTCACTTTCACATATCTCCACTTCCGGAAACTTACACAATAGAAAGCACAACCCAAAGCGACAAACGCACGTGGCAGAGCTTGTGGAGTGCAGGCATCCAGTTGCATTTACAGGGAGGCGCGAAAACACCATATCTGACAAACGAATGGACCGCTAGGCGCGCACCCCTCAGAGGGTAGATGAATGAACGACGCCTGGTTTCCTCTGAGTGAGTGGTGACTCGCGCCACCTAGTATCGGCTAGAGTATCTGTTTCTCCTCGTAATAGAGCAACACCCCCTGACTCGTCACAAACTAAAGAAAATGGCTGCTGCTACTCTGCTTCACTAGCAACTGTGAGTACATCTTGAGCCGCCATACTTTAGCGTTGCTACTCTAAGGTGTAGCTTATTTAGTGGCTTCAGAGTGTACTAAAAAAGTGATGAGCCGCCAGCTTCGCACATGCTCTTGTGTGAAGCGCAGCGCGTGGAAAGTTGCCATGGCGGAACTGCGACTGTACCCGCCCGTCTGCGCCCGTCAGCTTGGGCGGGTCGTGTCGTGCCTAGGGGGTTGCGACGCCGCACTTGACTGCGCTCAAGGCTATGCCTGCCCGTGCCTGGCGCTTCTAGCGTAAGCGGGCAAGCATGGGATAAATTCTCTGACTCCGCAATCTTTTTGGAAATTTCCCTGACAATTCCCTGACTTTTCCAGGTTTCTTAAAATTCCCTGACAATTTCCGGTTTTCACCGTCGGTAGACACCCTGCTAGCCCAACCTAAAACAATTTGCAAAATGGGACGGGACTTTGAGATATTTATTGATGAAGTTTCGTTGTCTATTCACCTGATTCAAAACGCAAGAGGATAGAGCATCAGAAGTTGCAAACTGATCAATGCATAAAAAAACGATGCAGCCATTTCACATAGCTCGTGACTATCTCGACAGTTTGTAGTTGGTGGATGGGTTGATGTCACACCTCCAAGACAATGATGTGATGAGGGCCCGAAACCACTACAGGGGGAAAGGGCTACCGGAGCTTCCCCCCAAAAGAAAGAGTGCAAGTCCTAGATGAGAGGCTTCGCCGGCGTTGGGTATATGCATTTCCCGAACTTCGTTTGCACTTTTTTTATGTGTTTTAAAATCCCAAACGTAATTAGAGCCACATGCTTATATAGCGACAGTCCCCCGGTCATCGGGACACCATTGCTTGGTTATAGGGTGCAAAAGTAACGACAGAAAGCGTTGAATACTGTCCAAGGACCTATGTAGCTTGCACGGAATCTGTCAATGCGATTGCAGCTGCAATGTCCTGAAGCTCCATCGCTTTCCACATGACTTTTTGTAACTTTTTGTAACTGAATTTATCCTAATATTTATGTTTTGAAGTGGTCACACTGGCTCGAGTTTATCATCTACAATACTTAGTCGAAGGCTAATTTCTGCCGCCGGGTGTGACTGGAAATTGTCGATAAGTTAGTTCTATCGGTTTTCCTGAATCGCAATCTCCTGCGTGATACCAGAGCGCCATGAACCCATGCTGACCATCACAATGCGAATAGATTCTTCTTATTTTCTAAATTTGCACACAATGTAACTGGAAAGAAACCTTCAATTTCTGTTGCTGAAAGTTGAAACATGCTCATGCATCCATTTTGAATCGTTGAATCATTGATTGACTTTTTCAGCAATAGGCCCATCTCATCTTTGCTATTTTCAGTTCTCGACAAAAGACACTCGTCAACACGTTTTATTTGAGGATCCTGTATCAAGAGTGTGTCTTTTTTCGAGAACTGAAAACGGCAAAGTCGAGATGGGCCTATGGCCGAAGCGAGACGACCAATGATTTACCGATTCGAAATCGATGCATGAGCATGTTTCAACTTTCAGCAACAGAAATTGAAGGTTTCTTTCCAGCTACATTATGTACTGAAATTAGAAAATAAGCAGAATCTTGTCACGTTGCGACAGCCAACATAAATTCATGGCTAACTGGTATTGCGCAGGAGATCGCGATTCAGGAAAACCGATAGAACTAACTTATCGACAATTTCCAGTCACACCCGGCGGCAGAAATTAGCCTTCGACTAATTATTGTAGATGATAAACTCGAGCCAGTGTGACCACTTCAAAACATAAATATTAGGATAAATTCAGTTACAAAAAGTTACAAGCTGAAACAACACTTATCACAAGAAAGCTTGCAGGAACCTTGCGAGCGTACCCCATGTTCATCGACGGTACAGCGTTAAGTTCGGTGGACGCTCCATTCACAAAATGTTCCGAGCACAGAGGATGGTATTGGGGAAACGTCTTTTCGGTTTACGGATGCAACCCACTGCCGCCGGAGATCGGGGTCATGTGGAAAGCGATGGAGCTTCAAGACACTGCAGCCACACACGCATTGCCGGATTCCGTGGAAGCTACATAGATCCTCGGAGAGTATTTGACGCTTTCTGTTGTTATTTGTGCACCCTATAACCGAGAAATGGTGGCCCAATGACCGCAGGACTGTCTTCAGTGAAGCCTGTGGCTCTAATTAGGTTTGGGAGTTTAAAACAAAGAAGAAAGCGCGAACGAAGTTCGCGCAATGCATACAATCAACACGGGCGAAGACTCTCATCCGGGACTTCCCCTCTTTCTAACACACCAGCAAGTGAGAAAGTACCGGTAGCTCCTCCCCCCTTTCCCATCTTCTCTCTCAGTCTCAAAATGGTGCCACCCACCATAAAACAATCTATACATGAGAGCATGACGCTTGCTCATTGAAAATGAGGCATCAGAGCCCCTAACAATAGGGGTACGGATTTTTTTCTTTGTGATGTTTGATTTCATGCCTTATAACTACATAAATTTATCAATCCCTACTTCACTGTCGTGGGAAAACGGTGGCCGAGTGGCCTAACGCGTCTTAGCTTGGAGCATGTTGAGCGAAAGCTCGCGATGAAGAACCCAGGGATCCTGGGTTCGATCCCTGCCCTGCCCGTTTCAATCTGGATGAGCATCGTACTGGTGCGCATACGTGTAATCACTGCTCTGCGATGCACGTTAAAGACCCCAGGCTAGCAGTCATGCTGCACTGGTTATATGGCTCATTTACGGCAGAAAACTTAGAGCCAATCTGAGGCAGACTGACCTTTCTCTGTCTCAACGAACTCAACACAATTTGCCTTTTATTTACTTCACTGTCAAAGCCTGTAGAGAAAGGTCACTGCAAATGCATTTCGTGTATGATGCCTCAAACTTCATTGAACTTTGAGTAAAAATTACCGTTTTTTGCGCGCCTCAAAAATTTTGTGTTGTTTTTATTTGTACCGATACCTGCTTGATTTTGTTTGTACCGTACCCTAATGGGGATGGGCAGTATTTTTAAACTAAAAAATAAATAAATAATTGCTGGCATAAAATGTGCCCTTCTCGCTGTACCACTGTTGGGCCTGAAAAAGCTGTGATGCCACTGCCACGAAACTGACCTCCTGGAAAATACAGTCTTGGAGGGAAAACAGCAATACTTAGTGCTGTCATGACTAGTGGCAACCAATCTTTGTGCCTACAAAAGGCTCTTCGTACAAGGTTTATAGACATGTGGGCGGAAAACAGTCCCTTCAGCTGACCAGTGCCGCCACGAAAAGTATATTTTTTCGCATATGTGGAAAGGTACTACAACCTTTGGCTCACACAGTTACTTTGGAAAGTGGCACACATGATACCTCAACCCAGAGCTTTCAAAGGAAAGCTCAACAGCTGGGAGTTGAGATTTTTCCACGCAGTAGCAGTGCGGCCCAGATTAGAGGGGAACCTCAATTACACATCCCTGGTTTATGCGACGTCCTGCATTTCACAACGAATTAACACAGTCCTGGCTAGCTCCCCATAAAAGCAATGTCCGTATAACACGTTGAGAGATTCACCTGTCCTTCCTCATACGATGACCTGCGGGAAAACACTGAGAACCAAACAATGCAGGTGCACACAGACACGCGAGTCTCCCAAGCAGCAGCAGCGAAACATTCCAGAGATTCGTCCCCATCGTTAGAACAGTATGTCCTACGTTCTTCCCTTGCGCCACCGCTCTTCTCTCTTTCTACTTTGATTCCCCTTTCTGTCTTTCTTGTTCCATGAAAGAATGACAATGTTCAGTTTCCTGCCAACTCCTGCTCTGCTAGTACCTGCATTCTCTCCGTGCCTCTGCCATTGATCTGTCGCGCTCGCTCCTGTCTTTGCAAAAGTTAACAAGCTTAATGCTCGAAACCTTCTGGTTGTCTCCGGTTCCACACGTTTGCAGCACGTGCTGGCACACTGCGGCGCACTACTACGCACGACGATGTGTAGGAAATGGACCGCCCTGACGCTAGAAGAAATATATTGAATCGTCGAAAAGGCAGACAAAAGAAAGGAAGAGACTAACGTTTTTAAATAAAAGTAAAAGAATGCTTACTTACGGCGAATATATTTCAGTTTTTGAGGAGTCAGGGCTTGCCTTCCCAATGCGCCACTTTTCAAAAGACGACGGCAGGGGGTCCCTGTGAGGCTTCTGTTCCTCAGGTTATCCGGCCATAGCGCTCTGCAGATGTCCCGAACGAATATGGAGTCCGTGCCTGCATCCATCAGTGCTTCCATGTCACCGGGCTCCAGAAATGGCTGAAAGTAGAAATGGAATGCATGTGATCCTATGCTTAGACCTGACATATACACAGAAAGGTAGGAAGAGCCCTTAAAGGGGCCCTGCAAGGACTTTTTTTACTGGTTTTTAGTTTGCACCGAACCTGAGCGCACTGAACGTAGTAACTTAGTGAAACTTTTCTTTTCTCGAAATTCGCTTTGTTTTAAAAGTTATAGGCAAATTAAAATTACAAAAACAAGCAAAAAATAAGCTTCCTCATGACGTCCTTGGTTGCTTGAGTGGCCTTGAACTAGGGAAGGGGTAGTGGGCTCATCGCGGGAGCTCACGGCTGCCACAGTCCGTGTCGACGGCGCGAGAGGGTGCCACTAAAGCATGTTCTGGTTAGGCTGTATGCAGCGGGCAACCAGAGCGGCTCTCATTGCATTTGCTGTGCGATTAAGCACTAATTCGGCATGACACCTCATTGGCCACAAACGACAGCAAACACGGGGTGAAGATCAGTTCAGAATGGGAGCCACTTCGCGCTGCCATACCGCGAAACGGCCAAACCTCCGAGCGTTCCGAAGGCCTTCGGAACGCTCGGAGCCGGTCGGATCCTCATATCCATACGACCGCAGCGCCGCCGCGTACATCCGGGACCTTTCTGTGTCGGCGCCTGATCCCACTACTCTTTTCTAGTATGTGTCGCCTTTTCCACCGCTTGGTGGCGGGTATGTCGACGGGTCATTTCTTGTTTCCGCACTTTATAAACAGCATCTGTTTCTTTTCTGATCTAAAATAGTGAACAAAAACTACTTTTATAAGTAATTGAAACGGTTCGTGCCACTTATATTTTTTAGGTAGACTAAAAAGAAGCTTTTAGCGGCTCTGACCAGTGGTAAGCCTAGGATCAAAGACGTTACATTTTGCGTGCTTTCGATACCGCGGGTCGCCCTCGTCGGTGGAGGAGGTTTCCGCGTCGTCCGGTTAAAATATGACGCACTGATATTTAGTTACTCTCTCCGTGCCCGCTGGCTTGCGCTAACCCCAAGAGACGTGGAAACCGCAAAAAAGGTAGACGCTTAAATAAGATTGCAAGGCCCCTTTAAATTTCTACCTTCTCCCATAAAGTATGAGGCCTGTTTTCTTTCCTGAGGAGATAAACTCCCTCACCAGCTTTTTTTGGAAATACGAACACAGCCAGAAGGAAGGGGGAAACGACACTGAGGAGAAGGTGGCAGCTTGAGCAAGTTGGTGATGCATCGTATAAGCCTACAGTGCAAAAACGGAATGAATACACAAAAAGATAGGGAAACAAAATAACAAGGACGGTGCACTCTCTCTGTGTACTTGTTTTGTTTTTGTGCTGTAGGCTTATATACTGAGGAAAGATTTTCTGCCCAGCAGAAAGTGACCTTGCATGTATATGATGATAGAACTATCTCACACAAGCAATTAAAATACTTATTAAATAGTACCGTATAATTGCGTGTAAGGGCCGCACCGCCGTACTTAGGACAAAATATTTCAAAATAAAATAAGAGAAATTATTCATGTATGCACCGCACCCCCTTGTTTCTGAGGTGCGCCCACTGCAATGCATGAAAGTTTCTATGAATATATATCGCTAGGTGGCACTAGCCACCGCCTGAGCACGTAGCGGCACGTCTCCGCGTCCCCGATATTTGCTCTCCATTCATCCGTATCACCGTATGGCACAATGGCTGCCGACCTCGGTCCTGTTTGGCCGCACCGTCGGGATGCGTTTATGTTGCGGCTGGAAGACATCGAGAAAAGATGAAGGATATGTCACCTTCCGTGGCACGCGCGAGGAATGGGGATTCAGCGGGCTCGGTTCGCGCGTGCACTCAGGTTTCTGAACGCCACTGTACGCTCTTGGTAGGTTTTCTTTTGTTCTTTAGTTCGTGTCAAAGCGTCGTGATTTGTCTGCCTTTTCGCGCAATGAGAGCTATGGGCAAGTACCACTTCAACAGTCATACGGGATTCAAGTCGAAAGTTGCTGCGCATGCTATCAAGTACAAAAAAAAAAGATGTGTATAGCGCAGTATGTAAACTAATTAAATCCGACTGACGATTCAGTCCGGATTCCGGAGTGAAGGCGTTTTCGACCAGTGCACGAGACCCAGAGCACTTGCATCAAATCTTGCATCAGACTTTATCCAAATGCTAATATCTGAACAGGCTGGTTCAGACATTAGCGTTTGGCTGCGCTGTGTCCGCTTGCAACGAGATGTGATTACGAGTTGCCTTTGCGACCCTTCAAACAAGACAATGGGGAGGTGATGCGCTGCATGATGCAGCGCGACGCGATGCAATGCAGCGAGTCAATGCAGATGCTTGAAGGTAGAAAAGGAAGAGGTCGAAGCTGTTGCTGCCCCATTCCACATAGTCACCCTCAGAAGAAAGGGTCAAGTCGACCTTGAAACGTTGTGAACCTCTTTTAAAGGTGTTATGACACGCCAAAAGTAAAATATGAGAAAACAATACTGCTACGACCCATTGTACGTTCCTATAATTCTGCTAAGTTTGTTTTGAAAATGGCGCGATAGTTTTGTGGATAAATTGATTTATATGCTGGTCCTTCGAAGGGGCGGATCCAGGCGGAGCGGGAGGCTGGTGAACTAGCCAGCCTCCCGTGCGGCGCCCCCTTGCACGCACTCGCGGACTTGCCTCTCTTGGGAGTCTCGAGCTTCAGCTTCCTCGTTTACCTTCCGCGTTTCGAGCATGTGGTTCATGACGATTACGTCTACGGCACTGCTCGCCTTGTCAAAGTGTTCAACATTGATCGCAGCAGCGATGGGAGTGATTGCTATCCAGAGATGTTGGAAGCTGTTCATTTTGACTGCGATCCGCTGGCGACCATCTCCAGCGACGGCGAGTTACGGTCAAACTCGCTGTGGTCACCGTTGTCCGGCAATATCTCGCAAGTGCATGCAGGGTGGAAGGTCAACAAGCCGGGGGTGAGAGCGAGAATAGCGTTCGGGTTGCCGAGTTGCATGAGCAGTTTTGATCGTACCGCGGCAAGGAGAGCTTGGGCGATCATGGGGGCGCCTAGAATGAGAGAGTGCATCCATGATAACGTGGTTTATGGACACCATTGTGTGACTAACTTGGGCAGCGTTGCCTCGTTGCTAAATGAAAATGAAAAAAAAAATTGTAAATTGGTTATTGCAATTATTAGAGCTATAAAAATTTCGTAATTTGGTGTGTATACTAAGTAGCCTTTGAGCATTTCATTTGAAGAATAATCTGTCCGTTTAATTTTTGTGTCATAACCTTTTAAGTGTTTTTGGGTTGGAGTTTTTTTTTTCCTCCAATTGAAACCAACACTCTTTCGCAACGTCACTCTTGATGCACTTCTTTTTCGGAGACCAATAAAATGAGAATGCAGATAGTGAGGCTCCGTTTTTCTCGTCCATTTGCAAGCGCAAAAATAGGCGTCCTAAAATTCAGTAAAGCATTGAGCGGTGTGCTAGTACCCCAAAAAGATAAGAAAACACATGTTCCTAAAAACAACAAAAGAAAGCTGCCTTTTTTTTTTAAGGCAGTTTTTGAAGTCGTTTTCAAACAAGACCAGCTTCCCATAAGAACCAGCCATGGTGTTGCTCTGGAGTGCAAAACAGAAGAACAGGTGCCCCATATTAAAACGTTTTGCAACATTAAAGGGTAACTCCGGTCCATAGTTTTGATTTTGGGATTATGACTGTTCTAGCACAGTCAGCGTCCGTGAATTACAAGGTGTAATTTGTTTTTCGGTATTGTGCGTACTTTTAAAGATATCGACGCCTCAAAAGTTTTGTCTGGGGCGTGGTCAACAAAATCGAAACTAGCCGCTCGAGGCCCCAGCAACACTGGACATCAGTCGCTAGGTGGACTTCACGTTATCGTCGTTCTTGTTCAACGAAGTGCTTTAACGAGTATGCGGTCCAAGCGGCACCTATGTCTGTTGCGCTAGCCGTTTAAAGATAAAAGGTAAGTTGCTTTCATTTTAATTCTGTATACGTGGTAGATACCCAGCATATGTAGCAATAGTTAGTGCGTATACCCAAAATCTAGCGACTGGCAGGCGAGTGAACTCGCTCGGTGTCGATGTAGGATACCAATCTCACTACCCCTCTGCTTCGACTATGGTAGTGGGTATGGCGTACGCCAAATTGAATACCGTAGTCGTTTATTTCGCTAAAACGGCGGAAATAACTTTCTGCGGCAAAATACCCTATTGCTTGTTGCTGTTTGTATGAGCGGTGGAATGCGCGCACGGCAGGCGTTGATTAACTTTTTGTAAAGTTAGTTAATTAATTACGTTTGAAAAACCTAATTTGCGAAAATATCAAAGAAAAGGCTTGCCGCACTCATAAGAAACACAAAAAAAACTTGTGATTGGAGCTAGTTAGTGGTTGTAATCTACATGCCCACCATTCCCCATTCAACGAAGCGTGAATGCTCCATGTTCAACACTGCATTTGACAATGACTGCTTTATTGATCTAGATACTTTTATCATGTTTACCTTTTGTGCAGGACATACCACTTAGTAATGCGAAGTTCATTGCTATGTTGACTGCATGTTTTACCTTATGTCTTCACTGTGGTTCGGCTGGAATCATCCTTTTCACTAATTTAATGCAGGACAGATATCGGCAACCCACAAATGCTGCTTTTTTTTAAATCTCTGCCTCCTTTCTCCATATGGGATAAAGAAAGCTTTTTATTTTGAATCCCTGCGTCAAGGTCGTGTGCCAATTTCCACACTGGGCGGGCTTTTTTTTTTTTTTTTCAGCAGACACGTTGTTTAGTGAAGACATCGAAGGCGACGACAGCTGGAGCCTTAACCGATGTGCACATGACCCACTGCCACATGCTGACGAACTTCGCAGGAAGAGTGCTTCTTCGGTGCGCGAGTGCGCACCGAATTACTCGCTAAAATGAGCCTTGGAGTCCTCACAAGCAAATAAACAAAAGGCTATGCTGAAGCTACACGAGCTAAAGATAAAGCAACGGCTAAACACACCAAGCACCAGCCGAAGCGGCGGCGGTAGCGTCTCAAAGAAGCACACTTTCCCCGCTCGACCACGCAACAAACAAGCCCGTCCGAACCAGGAAAAAAAAAAAAAAAAAGAATGATCATGACGTCACCGCCCGAGGTTGCTTTAGCGATCGGTGATCCGCTGGCGGCCCCCTAAGGAGCGGCTGCTCGCAGCGGGTCGCATTTTTATTATTGGCATTAGTTAAGAATACGGCGTCCCCTTGACGTAATATTTTGGCTGGGGTCGTATTCTGTGTCACTAAAGCGATACCAGTAATTTGTTTCCTTTTTAACTTTGGCCGGAGTCGCCCTTTAGGTTCCAATTAAAATAATTTCTTTTCTGCCAAGAAATGGCAACGCAGATTTGGTCCACTGCCATTTGTTGACATAACACTAGAAGCCGAGAATTGGCTCAGCACGTTTTCGGAATGTTGACATCTCAGATATTTTGTTCCATCGATAATCGCTGCGCTACTTACCCTTACATTAGCTGTCAGATATTCAGTTATAAGTGCAACATTTTCAAGTCCCAATCTCACCGACAGATGGAGCAGTTTGTGAGCAGCCATTTGCCACACGCAGCTCTTTGCCTGGCCACGGCATGGAACTAGTCAGTGAAAAGTCAAGAATGAAGGGCGAGGGAAATTGAGGGTTGGGAGGAGGAAGTTGGTGGAAGGCTGGAGAGAGGGGGATGCTTCCTCCTCTCCACCCTTCCTTTTTCTCGCCCTTCGTTCTTGAACTGTCATTGACTATAGGCATACACAAAAATTATTTCACCTGAACTTCAGCAGCATTGCCGGGAAGCACTACAGGCTCTTCCTGGGCTGGCGGTGCGGCTGGCACTTGCTCTTGTACTTCGATTTCTGGATCCGCCAAGACTGGCGGTTCCAGAAGCGGTGGTGCTGGGGCTTGTGGAGCCAGCACTGGTTGTGGCAGAACTGGTTGTGGCAGAACTGGCGGTGGCAGGGCTTTCGGTACTGGTGCTTGTTCTGCCGAAGCTAGTTGTGGGGGGACTAGTGGTGGCAGGATTGGCCGTAGTGGAACTGGCTGAGGCAGGACTGGCGGTGCCAGGGCTTGCGGTACTGGTGCTTCTGGTGCCAAAGCCAGTGGGGGGCTAGGGGTGGCTGTGCCAGGTATGGTGGTACCAAGACTGATGGTGTTGGGCTGGCGGAGTCACCTGCTTCATTTGAAACTTTCAATTAGATCCCCAGTCAAACTTGTGCCCCATAAAGTATCTGTGTGAAGTCTACAATGCTGAACCTTTTTCTAAAGATCCCACTTACTAGTCTCAACAAATGAATCTGAGAAACACGAAGCCTCGGGAATAATCTCCACTCCAGGCAGCACGGCTGGGCGGGTAACCAGCAGGTCTGCAAATGTATTTCCTCTTTACATTACCGAGCAAGACACACAAAAAATCGCCCCTCAGTAAGCAGGGGCTACTTGCAAACCGAGCTGATGCATGTACCGAGCACCAGCCATCAGCGGACTGTAAGCCATATACAAGAAGAGACTGCTCAAAAACATTACAATGCAAACACCCCAAGTTTCATACCGAGTCCATAAAACCCGAGTCCATAAAAGGCACACAAATATCATTCATAAACCTTTTACACTAACAGCTGCCTTTTGTAAGTTTTGTGGGGTTTGCAATGTCGTCTGCTGTCGAGCGTAACCAATGTCAACCGCGCACGCATGGGCTTTCTGCAAGGTGCACGGGAGACCTCTGTGAGAGGAGGAAAGGTTTCTGTGGTGACCCTCGCTTTGTTTGTCGTCTGCCCGATCTCACCGTTCTGGGCAATTCGAGTTGAGGGCTCCAAAAGCCAGTGTGGCTCGCGACAACCGTCCAGAGGAAGCCTATTCACTGCAGACCAACAGCAAAGAGAAGACCCGTCCCGCACACACCGAAGTACCACTGCAATTACAGCAACAGCTGCATTAAGGACGTTTTGCGGGGTTTGCAATGTTGGCATCGGCGTCGCGCATAATCAATCTTTGCCGTGAAAGCAGACAACAGCCTGGCTGAATGTCGCCGTCGTAGATCACCCTCCTCGCCGGTACAAACTTATGGAGGCCACTATGAGTCTGTCCCGCAGTGGCACCATTATCAACCTTGTTTTAGCAAAGGACATTACGACGTTCATCGAATGTCCTGCATTCCCAACCTACTGCAGCAATCACCGAGCACTTGTGGTAGTTGTTGGTGCCACTACCCACGTCAACGACCAGACCGCTTGCCTAGCGACTGGGTGTCTGCGTTCTTACTACCGCTGCAAAAGGACAGCCTTCATCCTTTCTGTCACAATGTGCGTCAACACAATGCTGCCCCCACACTAAAATAATATAAAGCGGTATGCACATCACTGTCGTCAGACTATGCTCAAACATTTAACTCGCACTGCAGTAAAACATCTGACCACTCTCGCTGTTTTGGAATCTTTTAGTTCTGATTAGGGTTGTATGTGTATTAAAATTTTTGTGCAAGAGCTTCAAATACGGTATTTGATATTCGCTGCTATATTTTGCCCATATTTTGGCAAAATGTAGCAGCGTGTAGCAGGGTTAGCCCCTTGGCGCAGTTTGGCGCAGCAATCACATGACTGGAGTCACGTTCAGGGCGCAATTTAGCGCAAATGGCGTAGCACTTCCGTCACTCCATACACACCTGCCATGAACCCCAGCTTTGACCACACAAAAGACGGTCGAGCGTAAATTTTTTTTGAGTGCTGCAGCACTTCAAGCTGGGTGAATACCAAAATTAACTAATTGGCTAGTTATTCAGACAACCGTAGATGGAGACAAGTTCTGCTTTGTCCCGATGTGTCCTAATTCATGTCTTTCATCATATACCCTACTATTTTCATCATCCTGATCATTCCAACTATTTGTCCTTAAAAAGTGAACACTCGTACCTGGCTGTAAGAAACCTTCCTATATGGCAGGTCAAACGAAACGAAATCTCAAAATCAATAGGCTTAATTTCATCTGCAAAGCACCTTTTACCGGAACGGCTGAAGTACCAACTGTATTATGCGCTGATATATACCAAGGTTTATTACTGCTTTCTTGTCTGGGGTCAGAAATTGAGGACAAATATCACACATCTGCATTTATTACAAAAAAAAAATCTGCTCGTCTAATGCACAATTGTGCTTATGACGCACGCACCGCTCCGCTTTTTGAGAAGTATAAAATTTTAAGCTTTGAACATCTCTACATTTATAAACTTCCACCCTACATATTCCATGACCATAGACTTCAACAACCTAGCTATCCATCTGCATGCACTAGACCCGACCACCATGACATTATTTGGACTAATTAACCAAAATATGTTAATTAACTTTTTGATTAGTGGTCTCATGGGCCATTTCGCAAGTGCAGTTTTAAAGACGGCAATTATAAGAGCTTAATCAGATTAAAGCAATTAGCAAAAAGGCAAGGGGCTACTTGATATTTATCTATCAACTTTTGCATTTTCTTCGCCAGATTAAAGAACCGCACGCAGCAACAGTGCAATATGCGGAGGGCGACGTACCCATTTTGTGCACTTGTCATTACCTCGACGGGCGAATTTACCAAGAACGCGCTGGTGACGAGCCGCCTGAAACGACTACCGTAAAATTTCCAGCAAGCGCCCCCACTTCAGCAAAAGCCCCCCCCCCCCCCCCCCCACCCCACACAACTTCACTGCTAATTTCACATTTTCACGCCGTTCCGGGAAAGCGCCCCCACTCCCCGCTACGCACCCGGATCACGCACCGTGCTAACCACGCCCAGGCAACACTGGCCTGTGAAATTCAGTCCAAGAATCCAATTCAACCTTACTTTGCAGCCCTATCGCCACGCGCCACTCTGGCTTTGTTTTGGAGGTGTCAGATCGGCTATGCATTCTTACAAAACGTATATCAGACGTCTCAACACATCAAGCTCGACCCGCTATGGGAATGGGACCAGAATTTTGAGTTTGCTACAGCCGAACTACGGGAAAGCCAAACTTCGACGAAAGCTAATAACGGTGCGCCGGTGTTCAGTGAATACGTGGACGACGCGCTTTTTGAATACCTGGAGCGCAAGAGAAGTGCAGAATGAGCCGTTAGCAACCTACTTCTTTCTGAGCAGGCTGTCAAAATAGCCAATGGCATGCAGTTGGGAAACATCGCGGAATTCTGCAGACTTTTTCTTGCGACCGACTCTGAGGAGTCTTTTGGTGGTTTTGAAAGTGAATAACGTAGCAGTGACATATCTTTGGCCTAATAAAGTCTATGTTCTCAGAGATAGATCAAATATTAAATTCGTGCGCATGCGCTTTTTTTCTTCTTCCGTCGGAAAAATGTTGTCGCCATCTTGAATTCGGTGCCATTCCGGGATAGCCCGCCCGCCCGCCCCCCCCCCCCCCCCCCTTCTAGGTAATTTTGACTTGCGTGGGGAGGGGGGGGGGCGCTTGCTCGAAATTTTGCAGTATTTAACTGTTTTGTGCACTGATAGGTGCGCAACTTCTTGAGCTGTTACAGCATGTGGTTGTCAAATCAGGTAATGAATCCCAAAATTGCACCATTAGCATCTCAAAGCCCCTCGAGTTTTCACAACTTGTTTCAATTGGGTTGGCCCTTGAAATCACTCCTTTTAAAACTGCAATTCCAACATGGTCTGTTACACCATTAATTAAAAAATTAACAATTTTTTATCGATTAGCCAAAATATTGTACAATTATCCAGGGTTATCCAATCACCTAATGCCCGCCAAGTCACAGAAACACAGTGAAGATGGAATCCACGTAGCAGTGAGCGCCATTTTTTGAAAAATATTTTGATTGAAAAATATTTTCCAAATAACAGACAAATATTTAAAAACAAAGGGGACCTACATGTGCCTCTAACTGAGGAGGGAACTTGTCCGTTTTTCCTATTGTACCCAGTCTCAGTGGCACCGAAGGGCTCCTAAAGGAAAGAAGCATACCGATCCTGTCCAGGAGAGCTTCCTGCAGCCTCCTTGTCAGCTGCCGCTCGACCAGGAACTCCCCCTGCATTACCACGAGCTCTGCCCGCAAGGCCGCATTTTCCTCCTCCAGCTGGCTCTGAAGAGGGTTCATTCTCTCCTCAGGCTTTGCTGGCTGTGGCCCTTTCCCCTTGCCACTGTTAGGAACCTTGGGACCATCTGTCTTCTGCTTTTTTGGTACCTGTATATTAGGCCACAATAATATGAGCAAGAACTGAAATGAGGGCTTATAAGAATTACAATGTTTTGGAGCTCCTTTTTTGAGCTGCATAGATCGAATCAATAAATTTTACAAGAATGATTGTCACTTACTTCTTGCAGGACAGGATGGCCCCTGACATTTATGAAATGAAAAGCTATTGAATATGCGTAAACACCATCCTTACGACACCTAACAGAAAATAGATGCCTGCGCACTCGGCAAAGTTTGAGAGCCGGTCGAAGCAATCCACGTGCCAATGACATAGCGGAGCTTAGAACAATCAAACGGCAGCTGAAAGTGACTTTCCCTGCCTTCCGCGATATTGCACATTTTCTTGACTACTCGTCAATTGCATGACGACAACAGCGGAAAGGTGCCAGCTTCCAAGGCGGAGGCACTCGACACTGCCATCTTTTTGTTGTTGTGCAAACATATTTGGTAAGGTTGCATGAAAAGTAGCCAAGATAATGTAAAACATGGCTTGGGGGGCGAGGGGGGAGGGGGTCATTTTCAGCTGATGAATAAAATTCTGGTTTATGATTCTTACGCCGCTCTACAATCTTGGTGTGTGCGCTCTCCACTTCTAAGATGCCACAAACACGTAAAGGAAATCCATGTCCTAAAACCTCACTTTACATGTACGCTCAGAGACCATGACAACTACCTGCCAGGTGACGTAGCAATACATACGGCAAGACTGAGGCACAACATTATCAAAGGGGCTGAGGAGCTGTCCGAGATTGTCTATTTGTGGTTTTAACTCAATCTATATTAGAGCACGAGAAGCCATCACTCGTGATCGGCTGACAAGCGCCGTTCAACCACGTTCGGCCAGGCTCGGGTGGTGCCATCTGTAGGTCTGAGATGTCACAACCTTTTATCACATTTTTAAGGGGGTACGGAAACAAAAATTGAAGTATTCAGATTTCGTTCGGAAATGAGTAAAGCATGACGGATAATAACCGTAAATGATAATCGCACGTTTGTATTTTGAACGACTGGCTATATTTTTCGTTCCAAACGGTGC